GGACACATTCAGTCTATTGTAAAAACACAAATCTTCACTGTGCTCACTCTGATTAATAAAACTTTCTTGGGAATCTCTTCTATTCACGATTCCCTAGCTTTCATTTGGTTCTTCGGTTACCTAAATTCCTAGAACTACTTCTTTCCTTATCACATTGTCCAAAGCGGCTTCGATAAGAACCCGCTTGTGGTCGGAAAGATCATCGAGTTTTGTGCGGTGTCGGGGCACGGAGACATGAATTACGCAGTGAGGGTTTTTAACATGATCGATAAACCCGACGCGTTTATGTGTAACACCATGATCAGGGGCTTCGGAAAAACTAGCCAACGACGACAGGCCATTGACTTGTACAGAAGAATGCATGAAAAAGACAGTTTCACGTTCTCTTTCTTCCTCAAAATCATTGCTGGATTGGGGTCAGTTGCATTGGGAAAGCAATTGCATTGCACAATCCTTAAACATGGGCTTGAAACACATGCTTATGTGAGAAACTCTCTGATTCACATGTATGGTATGGTGAAGGACGTAGAAACTGCACACCAACTGTTTGAGGAAATTCCAGATCCAGATTTAGTGGCTTGGAACTCTATCATCGACTCTCAAGTGCATTGCCGAAACTATAAACAAGCTCTCCACCTGTTTGCCAGAATGCTGCAGAGTGGCGTGCTGCCCGACGACGCCACTTTCGTAGTGACCCTCTCAGCTTGTGGAGCAATAGGAGCACTGGATTTCGGGAGGCGAATTCATTCTATCATACGTAACACTGAGCTTGGTGGGAGTGAGAGCACATTAGTCTCCAATTCGCTAATTGACATGTATGCAAAGTGTGGAGCTGTGGAGGAAGCCTACCACATATTTACTAACATGAAAGGGAAGAAGACCGTGATTTCATGGAATGTCATGATTCTTGGGCTTGCCTCCCACGGTAATGGAGAAGAGGCGTTGGCGTTTTTCACGAAAATGTTGCAGCAGAATGTCGAGAGACCGGATGGTGTTACATTCTTGGGGGTGCTAAGTGCTTGTAGCCATGGAGGATTGGTTGAGGAAAGTAGACGGTATATTGATATTATGGGGAGAAAGTATAACATTCAACCCACAATAAAGCACTACGGGTGCATGGTGGACCTTTTGGGTCGAGCTGGTTTAGTTGAGGAAGCATACAATTTGATAAAGAGCATGCCGGTGGAGTGCAATGCAATTGTATGGAGGACTTTGTTAGTTGCATGTCGACTTCATGGATGCGTTGAACTTGGTGAGAAGGTGAGAAAACATCTGTTGGAATTAGAACCAGACCATAGCAGTGATTATGTTCTTCTTGCAAATATGTATGCAAGTACGGGCCAATGGAATGAAATGAGCAAAGAAAGAAGATCAATGCAGTTAAGGAGAGTTCAGAAACCAGAGCCTGCAAATAGGCATTCCTAGATTTTGGTTGGAGAAAGGGACTATAGAAACATCGTTTTAACACTGGTAATGTTCTTGAATATTTTTCTCCAGACTCGATTAGAATGTTGATTGATTTTATTTTGAATTTTTTATATGATATTTAGACCCTGTTAATTGTTAAACTTTAATCTGGTTTGATCATATGATGATATTCAGACCCTGTCCATACTGGTTTGATTCGCTGGTCTGCTCTGATGATTTTTAAAACTAGCATATATACAATTTTTGTACCCAAAGATTGTACCTTCTGTCTCTAAACGAAAATACTCATTCTTGTTAGAGCTTACATCATAATTTGTAGTAGGACTTGGAAAGGGTGTTGTTCTAACATTTGTCCAAGTAGAGATCGACAAGTATATAGATCAACTAATAAGAGATTGTTCAAACTTAATTAATAATTTTAAGTTTGAGTCTTAGGCATAGTTGCAACTAATATGAGATTGTTTCAACTTAACTAATAGTTTTAAGTTTGAGTTTTAGACGTACCTATGTTGAATTTTTTATTTTGAAATTGTTGGTGTCATTGTAGTTTCATAATGTATTCTCGCAATGTTAATAGTATATTTTCTCCCTATCTCAGCCATGTACCCAAGGCCCAATACTCTCTTGTTGAACTTTTGTTAACTATTTTAAAATATGTTACAAGATACAGACATATAATTATTTGTTCTTCTTATTTGTGAAGGGAAAATAATTAAGATTAACAATGTTACAAGAGTCAAAATTACACTTTTGAAGGTTAGAAATATAAAGAGGCAAACTTACAATTAGTAGTTTTTTTTTAAGGTTAAAAACTGATAGATAAAGCTTTCATTTCACCCATCTTCACCTCGAAGGAAATGCTCATTCCTCTTAAAATTCCTCCACATAATAGACTCTGGAGGATCATAGAGCATGCTCATGAACTGAACCAACAATATCATGCAATTAATCTGACATTTCAGGTGGAATCTAAATTTAAAATTTTAATAAATACGATGTTTTATATCAGCCCACTAACCAGTAAGAAATTACTTGATACATTTTGTACAACAATATGTCTAAACAGGTCATTTCAGCTATCAAATTCAAAACCCACTTTTTGTATATTTTTGAAGTATGTTGGCCTTTTGCTTAATAATTTCATAAACGTGTGTTTCGTTTCATAAACAAGCATATGAAACTTTTATGCTACATTTTTAGCGCTAAAAAAACTGTCAGCTAGCCTGATATATGAGGATGAACAGAATAGACTGATAAATACTTTGAATGACCGAGTGCAGCAATTGAATAAGAATGCATGAGTCAATTAACTAGTTATTGAAAAAAAAAAAATCAAAAGCATGGGAGGGGGTAGTTCCTCCTTAAACATTTTATGTGTGAGTGAGTAATGAGCATGCTTAGTTCAACTATTTTGTTTTGTCAATTTGTTTGAAGGAATGGACATGTTTCCAAGGAAGAAAAAATTGACTTCCTATTTAGTTAATTTCCTGACATATTTGTTGTCAAAGTATTTTCACAATATTTTGTATTCTATGTTCTTAAACAGAATATCTGAAAGCTCTTGTAAGGGTGTGTATGAAAAGAGTTGTGAATGGTGAAGTTCATGTGAAGTTATTGAAGTATCATGCAATGTGTGTGTAAAATGTCCCACATTGCGAAACATAGGTGAAGCGGTGAGGAACATGAACTCTGAAATAAATGTGAGTAGCATTGAACAACTTTCTTATCTGGATGGATTCAATGATGATCGAGAAGATCCATGGTCTAGAACAATGATTTCGCACTTTGGAGGGGTGCTTTTTTAAGGTGGAGGGGTGATGTTTTAAGGTCTGCTCAAGTGGGGGAACTTACATCAACGCACGGCCCTGTAAATTGAGCATAAGTTTTTTTTATTTTTTTATTTATTATTATTATTATTATCATCAATTTTTAAAAATATTTAAATCATATATGATATTTAATTTAACTTTTTTATAAATAAAAAATTTTAATTGAGTTTGGTTGCTTAAATATTAGTAATTAATAATATAATTGTTTTGACTACAATTAACCATTAAAAATATCTTCATTGTCAGACTGATTTTTTATTTTTTGTAATATTATATTAGAATATTAGTTTCTTGGTAAATTTTGGTTCTACAGTTAAATACTATCAATAATTTAAAATTAATTTATTAGATAATGTAATTAAGATTAATTTTTTAAAATAAAGTGAGTACTTGAATTACTTAATAACATTAATAATTTTTTCAATTAACGATCAAAGTTATAAAAGAATTATTTAGATTACATTTTAAATTAATACAATTTAAAATGATTTTGATGTATTATTTTTATCAAAAGTTTATGTATTTACTTTTAAAATATTTAAATAGTTTGACTAAAAAAAAATAACTTTAAAGTTAAATTAAATTCCTTCAAAATTTGTTTAAATAGGACTTTAAAATTATTTTTTACATTGTAAAGGTTTGAATACACAACTCTGCATATTTTTCCTTAAAAAAGCTGCATATTTCTAGCAAATATAAACTTACATTTTGTTATGACAGAACATCTACACTTCAGTAAATTAGTTAAATCTCGTGTATAAACATGACACAATTTCCTAACCTTTCCAGGATAGGAAAAGGTAGAGAAGATAGTTCTGATGGAGGATCACTCTTTGAACTTTATGTGAGACTCATTACTAGGTTCATGACTAGGAGGATGGAAGAGACATCATGTCTAGGACTATGCTCATCATGTGTGTAGAGTATTGACCCTCTTTTAGGCCTATTTTGAGTAATATAAGATTTATTGCTTTTATTCCCATTTCCCCCTTGTATTTTGGGGTATCCTAGATGATAGGATTTTATTTTGTATTTTCATTTAGCATTTATATTATAGGGCAAATTAGCTTATGATTTATTTTTGGTTTACAACTTCTGAGGTCAGAATCCACTTTTTTCTATTTTTAGGTCAAAGGATATTTTAGTCTTTTAGGAGGAAAGGAATCCACACCACATTTAAGGTGCATTTGTGTGCATTTGACTTGCATTTCTCGACCATGCACCTCCAAATGCAGCCCTAGATACTTTTCTTCCTTCTATATATACCTTAAAATCCTTCCATGTAGACACTTTAGAATATATGCATTTGAGTGAGCATTTTGCCTCAAAAGTCTTCCTTAGTCTTTTAGGTCTACACGACCAAATCCCTCTCTTCTCATCCTTAGAGTGAATTTAGGGTTCTTTTGAGTGACCTTCACCAAATCTTGGTGGAGAGAGCCAACCTAGAGCATCCAAACACCAACCACCCTTACTTTTACCTATTCGTCCACTTCCTTACCCTTCACGCCCATCCTTTATCTCATCACTCTTGGAGAAACATTCAATCATTTTCTTCATCTTTCACTCCCTTCTTAGGAACCATTGATCATACCATGGAGAAGAGTCCATCAAGTTCTTTGTGAAATTATTTAGTTGTGAGTCATTATTAAGCTTTACATGGATAAAATTACAATCATTTTATTTGTTGACTATGTTGCTTAATTTCAGGATATTTTCATTTCATAGTGTACAAATATTATTGTTTCTCAATTGCTTACTAGTCATATTGAATAAATTAATTTTCTCAAAAATAAAGTTCAGTCTTATTTCTCAAATATTTATGTCAGAGTTTATCATCCCACAATATGATTATACTATGTTGCATGGCCAAGTCCAATATCAAACACCAGAAGAGTTGCGATATCAAGTTTAAAAGGGATTTTTATTGGCTGTTAAGTCCCACATTGGACACTGCAGATACTATTGTCTAGTCTCAGATATTTTAAGTGTATGTATATTATATTGCACTTTGTGTCCCACATATATAAGTGATCAATAAATTAAAGTCTTATATAAGTTAATTGTTCTAAACTTAAGTAACCACTTTTATTTGTTATTTATGAATTGTGTGGGAATGTGATGTAAAATATTAGAAAGTACATCTTGAGACACTTGTTAGATGTCAAATATTTTATTGCAAATCCGCGTGAAATGTTGATTGATTTTATTATGAATGATTCTAATATAATAATTTATTTATTCAATAAGTGTTTTAAATGTAGAATTAAAATATTTTGAAACATGTCCTTTAATTTTTATATAATAATTATTATGAATGTGATAGCACAAAATGATAAAAAAAAATTAATTTAGAGATATTTTGCTTATCACAACCTTTAGTTTTAATTATAATTACAAGTAATAAATTGGTTTTATTTCTTAACCTTAATTATAAGCAGTGATAATTACAGTAACTTTTAAAGTTATTAAGTTAAAGTTCTTTTATACTTTTCATCTTTTATTTTAACTTTTTTCATTTTTTATTTTAACTTTTTTTATGAATTTATTTATAACTAACATAACTGACATTAATTATGACACTCACTTTATATAAATGATACATTTGAAATAAAATTAAAATTTATGATAGAATTAATTAAAAGTAATTATATTAATTATTTTTTGGTATGAAAAATTAATGTACAAAAGATATTCCGTGCTTCCATAAAACTTTTAAAAATAATAAAAATCAACCCTTATTGAATACGAATCATTATGCACTGTCTTGAACAAAAACATTTTTAAGAGTTTTTTTTATGAAAAGTTTTGTAAGAATTTTTTAATTTTTTATCTAATTTAATTTTTATTTATCAAAATTTTATGAATTAAATATTAATATTTTAAAATAAATTATCAATAAAAATTTTGTGCTATAATAATAAACATGTTCGTGTATTATATATATTAAAATACTAATTATATAATAATGAATGGTTGATTGAAAATATAAACAATAATGGGATGATATTCATAAAAAGGATAAAAAAGATTATGATTTATAAACGAGTAGTTAGATGGGTAAAATTGAACAAAAGTTATGTATATCATAAGGTCAAATTTCTTTTTATTATTGTTATGGATTATAGATATAGATTACTCTTATCAAATAATTATAGT